TGAAAAAGTCTACGGCTACAGTAAAGCTCATCCAACTTGTCTTACAGAGCACAAATTTTTGTAGTACAGTTTTTTAGCATGTATTAAATAACAGAAGACCAAGAGGCAAACGTTTTTTTTGGCTTTGGGGCCAAAAAGGGTCAGCTCATCTGAGAAACTCCTGGCCCAGTGCCCACAGAAATTCCTAGAAGCATAAAGCAAAGCCCTTAAATCAAACCTCCAAAAAATACTTTGCTATAAACCTATTCCCTCAAGCAGGAGAGGTTTAATTTTCTTATCATTTAGTATATGGCCAATGTAAACAAAAACTCCCAGCCCCACCCTATTCCATTATGATAGATGTTAAGTGAAATGAAAATTTGATTATAGATCCACTGAAGTATTTCTAATGAGTTAAAACCACATGTATCATCCTAGCTATGTTTACAAATGGAGCTAAACGAATCAGATTATAAAATGATTGTCTCTTTAAGAGAAATGAACCATTCATTAATAGATGAAATTTCACAGAGCATTATACCAGAGCATATTACAAAAAGCATCACCTAATGGGCATATTAGGAAGCACAAAGGGCAGTGCTTTGTCAAGCGATCTCAATCAAGACGAAAAGGAAGACCATGTTCCCAATGGCAATGTCTCACTCACAATTGAAAAGAAAAGGCAATTCGTCAGCAGGAAGATCAAACACACGTCACATACAGGTAACACCCAAGTCAATGCCCCTTGATCCCTGGCTCTAACCTAATCAAACTGTGAAACTTGGAAAGTAAGTGTGAAACTCAATGCCACTGGATACCTATTGTTTAGATTGCTCAAGGCTTTCACCCAGCCCCCATTCTGCATGGTAGCGATACCCGTGTTGTTTCCCTGATGAATCACGAAGGTTCCCAGAAACTTCTCCTTCTTAAACAGCAACATCATTAAGCACACAAGATAACGGCACCACCTATAAACCCTATGTGGTAGAACGGGATAAAACACTGAATATAATTTTTAAGTTAGTTCGTTTAGGAGTTTATAATATGCTGGGTAATTGTTAGCACATTGTTGTTTCCTTTTATCTGTTTTTAAGACCAACGGGCAGAAAATGATCTTGGATGCAATTACAAGATGGTTATGCTGCATAATTAAGTTTACTTAATTAATACCCACATTGTATAGAATTATGCTTTACTTTTCTTTTTAGTTATTGTTCTTACATTGTTTGCAAATATGCAGCTTTAACTCACCAAAGGGAAAAAATATGCAGCACTACCCCATGATGAAGGTAGGAAACATAAGTACTATCATTTTTTCTCTGACGTTTACAATGCATACAAGTCCAAACAATCCCACTGCAACAAACAGTATTTCAACAGTTTCAAGTTTACCCTGCACCACAGTTTGAACTGTATGTCCGTGTTTAATTATTTAATACAACATACAATTACACACATAATCCAAGGACATTTAAACAATTGTAGTTTGTACTTTGCGACGTGTTTTTTAAAAAAGAGGAACTGCAGACTCTTTACAATGCAAGCCTCCCTGGGTTTGCAGAGTAATAAAACTTTTTGCTTTCTGGGATGAGCTGAGACCCTAAACTATGGGAATGATGAAGACTACTTGAGGGGGCTCCTTCACTCAATCAACACTATTATTTCGTTACTGAACACATCTCGGCGCCTGCTAATGTCCCCTCCCCCTAATAAATCCAGGCACTAAGCTACAGTATACGGCAAAATGCTTTCACACAGACCTGAGGCTTGAACCAATTCATCATGATCAAACAGTAAAGACCCAGCTAGCAGCCACTAGTAAGACAGCGAACAATATCAGTCATGCCACCGTCAATGAAAACACTCCTCCAGCAATCCCATCTTCAGAAGCTGAAATGGCCTGTGTGCTTTCATGCGCTAGATGAATGAAGGGGGTCCTTGCAAGGTGGGAATGGCTATTTTCATTGCTGTCATTCTATAGTTTGGGGAAAATGTTTGCAAAAATTCCTGGGATGGGGAATTAAAGTGTAAGCAAGCCTCCTGGCTCCAAGTGCTCTCTCTAGTTCTCCGTCGGTAAGGGTACTCGTAAGGGGCGGCTCTTCCCTCTGCATCTGCCAGTTTGTTAGGTCTCCACACACAAGTGATCTACCTAGCTGACTTTTTATTGCTCTCAGCATTCAACATCCAATGACATTTCAACTGATGCCACCCATATGGTCTTTTGAGAGAATATTCCCTTCTTTATTTGATTTAATCGATGACTTGCTCTTAATTGCCCTGTAGGCTTTGAACACTCCACTGACAAATATGATTCTAATTGAAGCCAAGCACATAAATATAAATCAACTTGTATTGAAATCTACTCATCTTTACACATGACATAACTTTTTAATACTTAGAAAAATTTAGATTTAAACAGAACAGATTAATGCAATTTCCCTATTTACTTCAGGCATGAGTTTCTAAAATAATCAATTTACTCCCCCACATCAATTTTTCAATTCAGTGATTCCGCTCCCTCTTATGTACTGGACTAAACAGCACATAATCTATAAATCTGTGTGGAAGAGGAAGTGGCCACATCTCAAATCCAAGACAAGAAACCACGAGAACCATAATGATCAGGTGTATAATCTTCAAAATCATTTTGCTCTTAGTCACAGCTTAGGTTGATGTTAGGGAAAAAAAAAGGCCCTTCCTTATAGATTACAAGATTTCGTTTACTCTGGAATTTCAGTGTAAATTACAATCTTGTTTTTTCACCTAATCACATGAGAGCAATGTTTTTCTATATCTTATAATACTGCCCTTTGGGTTTTGCAAGCTTAACCATCAATTGATCCATTTTAACTAAACCTGTATTGCTTCTCAGCACTATACGTTTAACAGGTCTCACCCTAGACACGATCTGTGCCTCAGGAAGTGCTGGTCTCCTTTTTCCACATGATGGAAGAACAGCCAGACACAGCTGGATGCTGGTATCAACTACTGTGGGTAAATATCTGGAGCTGGGAAAGGAGGGGGCTGCCAATTGGACAGGCAAGCATCAGAGACAACTGGATTGTAGTTTACACTATACTGAACACAGTATAAACATCCAGTATTTATTCTAAAACATTTTATACATTTACAGAGTTTTCTCAGCTTATAGGCTTGCTCCTTATGTTGTCTCCTACAGCTGATATTGGGTCCCACTGACTACCTCCTCAATCTGACTCGGCAGACTCCGTTTTAATATTATGGGGCAACAACAACACTTTTATGTATTGATCCTAAAATGAAAATGGTCCAAAATCACAATTTAATCACAATGGTTCAAACGGCCTTGGAAAAAATGGAGGGGGACAGGGTACTAGGTTTTCCGAAGATAATTTAATTTGCACACTTTAATGTGTAACAGCTGTTATAAGATTTAAAGAAGTATAAAGCATTCATCTTTTAGACGATCTAAGAGATTTGGTTTCAGAAAGTTAAATGGATAAAACTAAGCAAACTATCATGATTTTTTTGCACTTCAAAAATGCATCCAAAAAGGAGTAATCTACTTTTTTTAATCATATCACAAAACTAAAAATGCCTAAAATATCACACATCAAAGACATATTACAGGTCTTCCATTTAATGGTACTGTACTTGATTGGTAGATACTGCATACGATTCTGAATCTTTATTTATCTACAGAAGAAACCCACCTAATCCCTTGACTTAAAGCATCATAGCCATTTTATGTAAGACACCAGGGTAGTAGCTTCAATAAAATGGCTGGGTAGGTTGTTCCTTACTCCCACAACTCTTTGGGTAAAGAAATGCCTCCTGTTGTCAGTTTTAAATACACTTCCACACAGTTTCCACCCACGTCCTTTGGTTTGTGTGACAATTTGCTTTATTAGTGCCTTTTCAATTTCTCTGCCTGTGTTTGCAGGATTTAACCACGCTAGCAGTGCACGTTTATGTTCTTACAAGAAGTCACTCAAAGAAAAACCTAATCTCTTATCTTTAGCACAATGCTTTTTCATCTTAAACAGCATGCTTTTCATAACAGCATTCATGTTGTCCATCAGCCATCTCTATACAGTATTACAGGCACTGCAACATGCATTCTTGTCGCTAGAGTGGCCTTTTCTCACTCCGTCCACCACATCCAGTTCCAGTTTATCAGAGAAAACTGGAATTCCTCCCGTCCTGTGTACCCTGTACTGTTCAAACTGCACTACATGTGACATGGAACCCTACACTGTTATGACCATGCTCAGCAATGAGTTGTATAACAGGGCAGCACTGCATCAAAAACTGGATAAGTATTAAGCTCAATTTCATTTTTCACTTTGCACCTCAGTTTTATATCAGTTAATTACTGTATATGTGAATAGGTTGTTAACCCCAAGTACAACAAGTAATTAAAAATGTCCTCATGTAAGTTATCAAATCATACAGTAGAATGTGGCTTCATCTGCCATCCTGAAAATTGTCAGCTCCTGAATCAGTTACCATTTTCCAAAGCGTGCTTTCAAACAGGAACAATATAATAAAGGTAGGGAAAAAAACACTGACAAACATATTTCACTTTGATTTAAAATTTGAGGTAAGCTAAGTTTCTTAAATTTTCCATTGATTAACATATGTATGAAACAAACGGGTTTGTTTTTCCCCCAGTTATTCTCCTTATAGTTTTATGAGTCTTCAACTACTGGACATGACACATGACAACTCGCCAATGATGTTAAATATCCTATAGGTCTTTCACAGTTAAATATTCAAAAACTACAAGACGAATGTTACACAGTAAACTTTTATGATTATAATACGTTCAAGTAGGTAGAAAACTTTTCTTTATGTTCCAGTATGGAATGAACCTTTCCATGTTTGTTTTTATGATTATAATGCTGTATAAATGCTTAAAAAAATCAGAGGTGTGTGTACACAGAGTGGAAATCCGATTTTTTTTTCAATCTATCATAGAACTGCATGGAGTAAAATAAGCTGAATGTGTCAGTGTTGTTTAAAATGTCAAAGAACATTACCATTTAGAAGAGGCTGCCCTTCAAGCACATTCTCGGAAACTGCTGCAATGTACACATCTTCTGAAAATCCACGGGTGCACAACAGAGATCCAGTCCCCTCAGCTGAGATCTGGGGAGACAAGAACACATTTTACAAAAACAAACTCCACTCTGCTTTCACGGCCTCAGATTGTTTTTGAACCCCAGGAAATACAAAAAAACATCTGTCCTTAAACGGGGCGCAATTAGGATAATGAGGCCAAAGGGTTAAACATTTGCCATGGAGCATGGATAAGCAGGAACAAGCTCCATTTGTTCAGGGAGGTCTGACTAACACCAGCCTAGCTCCTCTGATCACTGGACACGCAACACAAACACCCATTTGAATTCAAGTGAAAAGGGTAGGCTACAAACAAAGGAGAACAATCTGTAGTACTAAAACAGTTGTACATAAAACTGTACATGCACTAGAACCCAAATGTCAAACAAGTCAGGCATTAAAGTAAAAATATTAAAATGTTTTGCTAAACAAAACATTTTAGGTCAGCTTCGTTGCACTTTCAGATAAATTTGGAAGTTTCCCCACAATGACAGGACTTCAGGCTTATCTTTTTTAAATCAGCTGCTGTTGATGGCTGGTCTTAATACCAGAAAGATTAAAAAAAAGATGACAATCTAATTTTCACTTTAAAACCCAAATCAATTGGCAAAAAGGTTTTCCCAACTTAAATTGATAAAGGTTTCTTTTTAATATATGAGCTGATTTCAGAGTGCACAGAGGACAAAGAATGCCCCACCCAACAACGTTCAATAAAATGTCTTGCCTATTCCAAATATTCCCAGAGGGAAAGGGTTAAAGAATCTAGTCTCCATTTTGGATCTATTAAATGTATTTGGAATGTGGTCAAAAATATTGAGGGTTTGTTTCCAGACATACAAAAAATGTATGCGATTTAAAAGTGCAGGTCTCCCTTTTTAAAGACTAAAGCGTTTTTTACAAATATGAAACAAGACTAACTTAAAATCGTATGGTTTATGTTTAGTGTATGAAATACAACAGAATACTAATGTTTCACATTGCATTGTAGCTTTTAGCCAACTTTGACACTCAAGTGTCAGTTTCAAACAGCGCAATTGTCGAAATTATGCTTATAGGAAATACCCGAACCTCGATTTATTGTCTAGCCACTTTTAAATCCCATATCTTGACAAATGCAGAGAGCAAGAGCAAAAATTGAGTAAAACTGTCCATCTTAACCTGCAGCCTACACGGGTTTAATGGTACACCGCGAACTGGTTTTAAAAGAAAAAAATGCAAGAGGGGCTCTTCGGTTGTCCACACAGCCAATGCGAACGTGCACCGGGGCAACAAACAGAACCCATTGTCCTCTACACTACAAGATGGGATAAATGACATGCCTGCAGTGATGAAATAGACCATTTCAAGCGCCCAAGAGGACGAGAACAATCAAACCGCGCAATTAAATCAAAGGGGGGACAAGCGGGACGATCCGAAGGGCTGAGGCCATTAGCATGCGCCCCTCTTCCCGGAGCCCCTAATCTAATTTTCTGTGCGGGACCCTCGGAAGAATGCGGCGTGAGCGGTCCCGTGCGGTGCAGCATTGTGGGTATCCGGGCCACTGGCCTTCCCAGCCGCTGGAATGCGTCGGGGGGAGAAGGACTCGCATTGTTGCACCGGCCGGAATGCGCGGAGGGGCTCTGGAGCCGCCGCACTTCCAGCACCACCAACTCGCCCAACTGCACCACAAGAGCGGCCAACTTTTCACGCAACGGGGAAGCGCCGGACTACGCATCTGTCTACTACACACCTGGGGGGTGAAGACAAATACGGCCACGGGTAACCCTTCCAGGCCAAACAACTCGGAAAAACGTGGAAGATAAGGGGAGGTCGAAAACTTTATCGGCGCAGTGAGATTTACCAACATAATAACTGAAATTCTCTCCCACGTTTCAGACCTCAGATTTGGTTGTTGGTTTTTCTTTTTTTAAAAAAAAAAAGCTCACACAGATAAAAGTTAAGCACAGGATAACCACGGTACTCGTTCAAAAACCTGAAAAAAAAAAATCAACACGATGCCCACTTTTCTTAAACGATCCTTCAACGGCCATTGATCTTAACTGGCTGCGGCACTGTAAGAGATTTGTGAATAATAATAATAAACATTAAGCACAATTAACAAAAGAAAAAAAATAAGCCCAGCAAATCATTTTGACCCCCCCGCACACACACACAGCACATGAATTTATTGGTTGTTTTAACCTTCACCCCCTAGAGAAAATAACTGGTCTCGGCGCAGTTCAACAGCCGTGAGAGCGACCTGGTGTCCGGAGCGGCGCGTTTCTCCCGAGCTAGCCCCAGGACACCGGACACTTGACTCTCGTACCTTGGACAGTGTCAACATCTCGCTTTGCAAGTTCAACATACGCGAAAGAACAGCCCCCACCGAGTTAAAGTAAGACTACGCCCGTGAAGAAAAACTTACAACGGGGTATTTGCAACGACCACGAACCGAGGTAGTAAAAACCCCCTACGCAGTTCGGAATACAGGCGCCGGAGCCCTCAAGCTCACCACAGATAACAGCCAGAGGTTTGGCGTTTGATTCGTGCTTTTCCCCACCACAATTCATAAAGTAAGGTGTCCAGCAGAGTTGATAATCACACACGGCTTTCAAGTGTTTAATAATCGAAATGTTTTTGATACATCTGTGCCGACTTCCCAATGTGGGGTTTGACCGACAGGCTTTATTATTTTTTTTATTTATTTGCACGGGCAGTTTCATCAGCATCGTCGCGGAAAAACAAGAAGCCGAAGCTCGACTGAACTCAAACATTTCACAAAACCCCGGAGAACAACAACCGAAATAAGAAAACCTTACCTGCAAAGCTGTTTGGAGCAACAGCAGCAGAACTCCTGCGCCTCCTTTTAGGAACATGGATAACGGTTTAATTTCCCCCTTGATCGGAATAAGTATGTACGGTCTCCTCTCCCGCTACGGACCGATGTGTTAATATTCTTTAAAACAAAGGCGGCAACAGCAGCACCATGTAGCAACCTCTCTCCTCCACTCTCCTCCCTGTACTGAAATCACAATATGGTACTGAGGCTGCAACACCCTCCCCGACTAACCAATACCGATCTCCTTGCTCAAGCACCTCTCTGTCTCTCCCTGCTGGTCACACCGCCTCGCTTCACGTAATTCAGACTAATGGATTTACCCCCCCTCCTCCAGTCTTGAAGGTCCGGAAGCTGGGATGAAATGACTAACCCCTCCTCCCTCCCTACAACAAAAAGAAAAGCTGTCTGGTTTGTCTCAGACTCCCAGTCTCCACCCAGCCCCCCTGACCGCACTCCGCGGGTCCATCAGCGGAAAGGCGATGAGATTGGAGCGTTTGAAAACGCGTCCTGGCCCGTTTTCCCTTAGATACTTGGGATTGGAGATACTGGGAATTGCTGACTGTCGGCTCAACTGTGAGACTGATGCCTCGTTTCGGTAAAGTTACAAGCGCTTGCAGCTGTGGGATTGTTGAGGGGGGTTTAGGACTTTAAATCGGAGTGCAGCCTGATCCGCCGATGCTAATGAAGTCAGCTGAAGTAAGAGCAAAGCAGGTGTCGTGCAATTTCGTCTCCCTTGGAGATTGGGCGCTTTTCCAAGACTGTTTGGTCTCCCGTGTTAATTTACATCAATCCTAAAGATAAATTAACCTGGGTAACCAAATTGAAATCAAACTAGACTGAAGCAGCATCTCATTCGGAGTGTGTATGCACGCATATAATTTATGGATAGCTAAATAAAAATGCGTTGCAAGTTTGCGTAGATCCTGGATGCAGTGCCGATATAAATAGGAAAAATAGGCGGTGCTGTCTTCAATATTCTGGAGCACATTATTTTAAAATGGTGTTCTGGAATTGGTGAAGAAAAAAATACATTTTAGTTTCTAAGAAATAGTAAACACATTCTCAACCCCCCACTACCTATGTACTATGTATCCATTCATTTATGTATCACATGCTGTTGTTGTGATTTCACGTTTTGCTTGTGAGTTTTGTACTTTTATGGGAGAAGCCAAAGACAAATTTCCACAGTAGTGGATACTAAACTGTAAGTAATGCACAGGGCTCAGATCAACTGGACACCTAAGACAGAAGAGGTTCACCTAGCCTTTAAATGAACATGGACAAGCTGAACAATAATTGCTTGTTAAAAAGAATATGTTGATTAATTATCACTAGGCACTGTTTGAAGAAAAGCTGTTTATTAAAAAAAACGTACATCTTGAATATTTAGCATTTGTGTTGTTTCTTAATTCTATTGTGCTGATTTGTGACTGCCCATATTGCAGATTTGGTCATTGCCCTCTTCATTTGTATTTTCCTAATTTACACGGACTCTTTACAGGAAATCAAGTAATTCCATCAGATCGGTGAAATCTTACGTTCACACTAAGAGACTACATCAACAGATTTAATTCTGCTTTGTTCTCTTATCTTTCTTCAGCTGAGAGGTAACATGGAAAACCTGTCCTGTCTCCGCGTCCAGTTGATCTGGCCCCTGTTGGCAACTCTATACTAAGCTCTTGAAATACAACACCCCAGACATGTAAACAGAGACAATAGCATACAGTGCATGTGAGAGTTCATTCAGTTCTTGAAATACTCTTTTCTCTTAGGTGCTAACAATATTTCTACCCGTTTTAAATTCTAATTACTAATATATTTGTTTTTTTTTTTCTGCTTTGTGCGTCACCTCATGCAACGTCAGGAAACTTAAACTGAGATCTACATGAAAACTGTCCCTTTACCACAGTGTGAAACTAAAATATTGAGAAATATGAAGGTAAGCCTAAGAAGGACATCTAAGGATTTCTTACATTTGAACAAATAAGGTTTACAGAAAGTTATTAAAAAGTTAAAAGGTTTTCCAGACTGTTATCATGATTGTTTTTGAGTTTTATTTCACAAATAGTCTTGTTGTTTGTATATGAGGTTATCATAGATTTAGAAATGTATTGATCAAAGGAGTAGACAATTATGTTAGTTAAATCATTATTTTAGTTGAGATATATTATATGTTCCCTATCCCTGGCATTGTTTCAGTTGTAAGCTTTCTGTTCCAGTTTTTGTTACTATAAAAATAAACAACAGATATTTAAAAAAAATAGATTTAAAACTTTATCAGGTTTGTTTTTCTATATTAAAAAATGAGATGCTGCTGCAACCATATTTCCATTGGGGAAGACAAGCATTACTGACATGTATTCTCTGCTACATTTCCACCAGTCACACTGCTTTACTGTCCCTTAAAGAATTAACATTCTTAACAAATTTTGCATGTTTTACTATACGTTAGTTTTATTTTTTTAATAGCATACTCTCATAGGAATATGTTTTTTTTTCCATATATGCCATGAGCTATTTTCCTCTATACAGTTTTCTTAAGTAAGCATCTCTGAGAACAGGAGAACTACATTTTTAACATTTGTTATTACATTGTGAGCCTGATTCAGTGTTTCTTATGACAAAGATCAGGAGCCTGCTATGAAGTGCTGTATTCACAAAAAAACAATGAGAAGTGTCTTAAAGCATATGATACGCGTGAACACACATAATTTAAAAATAAGACCAAGTGAACATTAGCATCCGTGAAATGTGCAAAGCATATGCTAATATATTCAAATGATATGGAAATACAGCACTAATAATGAGAGGACCAAAGTAAGCAAGGTATTCACAAAACCATAAAGTGCACCTTAACTCATATCAAGTTAGCAGTGAAGGAGAGCAGGTGTAATGAACTGAAATCCTTCTTAGAAAATTCTGCCATGCAGTACGTAAGTGTTTTACTGCAACATGGAGGAACTCCTTCAGAACAGTGAAAAGCTCTGTTATCAAAGGAATGAGGAATACGAAAGGTCCAGGAGCCACAGAAGGACAGTGATAACCAGACATTACAGGGCAAGATAGACGTGGTTTGTTATAGAAGAAATTCTCACCAGATTCAGAGTTTAAAGCACAAAGCTGTAACAAAGTGCAGTATAGATGAGTCAGCTTCTATAACTTAACATCACTGAGTTGGTAAGAAACATCTTACTCCGAATCCTAAGTAGCAGCAGGACAGATGACTATTTCTGGTTCTGAAACTCAGTAGTTTAGAGGTACATGAGAAAGTAGTTTGAATCTGAAATCTCACTCTGTCTGAAGCAGTGGGAATACTTACAGTGCCAAAGCACAGTGAATGCCACAGTAGGTGAGGCATAGGGATTTTTTGGAGCCTCTTTTACTACAATTATAAAGTGAGAAGGGTGGGTGTCCTTGAACCTTTAGTTCTTGTTTGTCATTAATTGTTTTTCATATATACACACATTATGTTAATATGTATCTCACAATGGGTGATCTACCCCTTAAATGGGGACTTTTAGTTCTTGAATTTCTAAAAATAATAATAATTATAATAATTGCTTACACTTATATAGTGCTTTTCTGGACACTCCACTCAAAGCGCTTTACAGGTAATGGGGATCCCCTCCACCACCACCAGTGTGCAGCCCCACCTGCATGATGCGACAGCAGCCATAGTGCACCAGAACACTCACCACACATCAGCTATCAGTGAGGAGGAGAGCAGAGTGATGAAGCCAGTTTATAGATGGGGATTATTAGGAGGCCATGATTGGTAAGGGCCAATGGGGTTACACCCCTACTGTTTTTGAGAAACACCCAGGGATTTGTAATGACCACAGAGAGTCAGTACCTCGGTTTTACATCTCATCCAAAGGATGATGCCTTTTTACAGTATAGTGTCCCCATCACTACACTGGGGCATTGGGAGCCACATAGACCGCAGGATGAGCACCCCCTGCTGGTCCCACTAACACCTCTTCCAGCAGCACCTTAGTTTTTTCCAGGAGGTCTCTCATCCAGGTACTGACCAGGCTCACACCAGCTGAGCTTCAGTGGGCTGCCAGCTGTAAGTTGCAGGGTGATATGGCTGCTGGCTCTAAAATACAGGAGGAGGGGTAGACAAAACAAAGATGTGTGTTTTAGTTTCATAGATTCATCATTGTCCCTGAAATATGTTTATATTAAACATAGATACATTTCAGGGCTAAAATAAAAAAATGTAAGTCAAAAGGTAGACTGTCTGATACCTATGTGTGTACAAGGAATCTCAATCTCTGCTGTTAGAAGCTTTGAAGCTTTAGCATCACATTTCATGGGCGTTTCTATTTAAAAGACTTCAAATGCAGCATTTTCTGATGGATGCTAAAAGATTTTACCCCTTTTTTCTGTTTACAGGAGAAGAACATGCTTTTATTGTATTTATTATTTTTGACATTATTACTATATATTTTAATGTCTACACAATAAGAGTGAGGATGTATTTAGTACTTTGATAAAGTGGAAAATTTATCTATCCATCCATTTTCAGTATGCTTGTTCTGGTGTTATTTATAGCTGGTAAATTAATATTTCAACTGCTTATAACACGTAATACAGATATGTGTATGTACACATTCCACACTTGCAAGTGACATTGCAAAGTTTTTCTCTTCTGAATTATGTGGTTGTTGATATACCCTCACAGACAAAAGCATCTGGACAGTTTAAAGTACTAGACGATAAAAAGCAGAGATTCAGCTTCATAATACAGCAGGAAAATATTCCAAAGCATGCATTATGTGAAGAAATGCAAACATTAATTTATTAAAATTATTTAAGAATCCTTAAATTCATATTTTCCATGCTCATTCTCTGCTTAGTTTTACGCCTGAAGTCTTTTGATATATTAAATGGTTCCCTGCATTTTTCCAGATATTTTTGCCCATTCTTTAACATATACAACTTTGATTTTAACATATACAGTTTTGTTTTGCCACACCAATTTCCAAGTCAATTAATACCATCTCAATGGGATTCAAGCCTGTCCATAACTGTACTTTTTCAATACAATACAAACGTCTGAAGCCATCTTCCATACATTGGGAATATTTTAGAGTTTGAAGCATTCATTGTTCTTACTATGATACACTTTTCAAGAAAGAAACCTAAGCACACATAAGTCTCTACTTATATATACTAATAAATCTGATTTCAGTGATTAGGTTACTGAAGGCAACATAATTTTCTCACATTGTTCTTTACAATTAACATTCATTCAGTGTAATCGTAACTGCCATATTGTTTTATTATAGATGTTATACATGTTTCAGTTGTTTGTTCATTACGGTTCTCAGTTGTGTAAAGGCACAGATGACGACATACATCTGCACAGCCTTCAAAACAGCCTGCAGTTGTAGTTTAGAGTTTTCATTAAAACTGTGCGATTTCAGTATTTTAACTGAACAAATACTTTTGACAGCCACATACATACTTTAAATTTTAAATCTGCTTCATGTACATACAGTTATACAATCGCTGTGCAGCTTTTAAATTGTTGTGAGTACCCAAATCATGTCAATTATACTAACATTAATAACTTTATGAAGACAATTGCTGGGAGTTCAAGTCATATTTTATTGCACCTTTAACAAAATGTACTCATCCAACAAATTAGCCAGCGTTTAATGTTTTTCCATAAGCCTTTACCATACACTGTCTATATAAGGAAGTAGGGTTTTAAAAAAGCTTTTGTGCCTGGGGTGAGATGAATCAAGCAGCTGAGATACTTGTGTAAATTCAATATTTCAATCCAGATTGAAAGGATTTGCATACAAAATCAGGAAAATTTAAGGAATAAACAACCAATTATTCAAAAGAAGATTATATACCTATGTCACGAGGTGGAAGCCGACTATTCACACACTCCAAAAACATCCTGTGCTATAACCTTATTTAATTTACTATTCAGAGATACAAAAATTCAATATGTTATGACATTACAGTGGATTTGATTCAAGTATTTCATATCCTGTAAGGATCCTGACAACCCTAAGAACTGCTTCAAACTCAACAATGAAATGAGGGGCCAGGGATACAAGTGGAAATGAAGAAGAGATTTACTGTAGGACTGAAAATGGAAGCAAAGTAACTGACCAGCCATGCTGCTGAAGTTGGTGTTGAAGTGATGAGCTATGACTGCTAACATACTTGTAACCAGATGCACCTGATGAGAATAATGAGGTTTTGCTTTTTGCTTATTTCCTTAAATTCTGAGACGTGATTTGATTTGAGTCCCATATAATTTTTGAAGGTGCTCCTCCTTTTCGTTTGTTCAACAGGGAAGCCACAGGCACACCTATTAGCACTCTCCATTTCCAACAATTTTGTTTACTAGTTTTTGAAGTGTAATAAATTGTTATTTTAAAGTGTGACTGACCGACTGTCAACTCATCGAGGGCTCTAAGAATTTTAACAGGTGATAAAGCTTCCAGAGGTAAACTAACTTTAAACTAATTTAATACATTCCACTGTATTAGTTGATTTGATCCCAAAATGTATCAAAAACTGCAAAGCCTTCTGTAGAGTATCAAATATACATACTGTATTTAAATTACGAAACATAAGTAAAAATAATTTTAACTGAGTTATGTAACAAAACAAATGTACTAATCATTGTCCTCTGTTTACTTTGTAGCATAAAAATACAATATTAAAATAATAAACATTGGTGCTGTCCATGTTTACAATACAGTCCCTATGCCTTTAGTTAGATTAAGAAAATCAATCATCAAGACAACATTTTCACAGCATCTGTCGCCTTCTCTTCAACTCAGATAGCACCCATGGTATCCAGTGCACATGGGTTGCTCTGGCAACCCAGGCTGTTTTAACAGTGTATGTTTTAAAGGATAAAACTAGAGTTTTATGACAGATTCACTCGCTGTTGTTTTCCACAAAAGATCTTCTGCCAGAGGAATATGTTTTGTGGATATAGTTCCAGACCATCTTTACAAGATTGTTACTTAGTATAGAGTAATTATGTGGACTTTGTTTGGGCTTTAGAGTAAAAGCCTGAAGTGATTATTTTCATTCTTGCTGAATCCAAGCGATAAGCAGGGCCATTGCTACTGTAGTTTATGTATATCCATGAGAAATATGATATAAACCTTTGCCTTGATACTACATATTATCTAGGTTAATTGAAACATCATTGAGACTGACCCTGCCTTTTGCTAAGGTGGCTCTGGGGATCTGCAAGCATAAAAACCCAACAAGAACCCAAGGTGCAGGGGGCTTTATTTCCATCTACAATCAAATAAGACCCTTGTGAAGGCCCCTTCCATTTTCATGTGTGGCAGGTCCACTGTCAAGGCACCTTCTCCATAGACTCCATCATTTGAACCCAACTGTGCAAGTGTTTGCCTGTCATTCACTCCCTAATCAAGAGTTCAGGGCTGAGGTCCAGTCAGTTCAGACCCTCTCACTGTACTACCACACAACATGCCCGTAGGGTTGGGACCCATCACCTTGCTGAACCTCTTTTTGACTCTGAACTGCTCTGTGCTCGATAGTTTGTATGTGCAATAATAATAATTGCTTACACTTATATAGCACTTTTCTGGATGCTCCACTCAAAGTGCTTTACAGGTAATGGGGATCCCCTCCACCACCACCAGTGTGCAGCCCCACCTGGATGATGCGACGGCAGCCATAGTGCGCCAGAACACGCACCACACACCAGCTCTCAGTGGAGAGGAGAGCAGAGTAGTGAAGCCAGTTTATAGATGGGGATTATTAGGAGGCCATGACTGGTAAGGGCCAATGGGAAATTTGGCCAGGATCCTGGGGTTACACCCCTACTCTTTTCAAGAAACACCCTGGGATTTTTAATGACCACAGAGAGTCAGGACCTTTTACTTTTTACAGTATAGTGTCCCCATCACTATACTGTGGCATTAGGACCAACACAGACTGCAGGGTGAGCGCCCTTCCAGCAGCAACCTTAGTTTTTCCCAGGAGGTCTCCCATCCAGGTAATGACCAGGCTCACACCTGCTGAGCTTCAGTGGGCTGCTAGCTGTGGGTTGCGGGGTGATACGTTACGTACATTAACTGCCAATGGGAATGGCTGAGAGCCAGCGTCCAATGGGGCTCGATAAGATGGACAGAAAGAGATGAGACAGAGGTCAGCCATTTTCCCATTTGGGGAAATGAAAGAAAAAGTGATGGAGACATGTGAGCCTAATATCTCCTGAGGACAGGGTGTCATGCTCCTGAGTGAGCTCTCTGGAGCACAGTTTCTCTCCAGTGGTAAGCCACTCTTTGAAATGAAAGGTAGTACTGGTGTTATTGTACATCTGTTCTGTAACATTTTATGTATATAAACGTTAACAGTAAGATTTTTAATGTAATGAAATGTCTTTGTTTATAAAACATATATGTCTTAATATAAGAATATTTAACTGTTTAAGCTCAATAATGTTAAAAAAACGAACACATGCACCATGAGGATTATATTTTATGATGATTTTACTTAGGTTTTTAAATAATAATACTAAAGTGGCAACATATTTTATTAATGTCTCTATAATCATAAAAGTCATGCAAAAAGAAAAGCTTTAATATTTTAATAACAATTCACTATATTTATCATTGAATTAGTGAAAAAAACTGTGATAAAATTATACATGGCTGAAAAGCAAATCTGGAAAATAAAGAATAAAAACAGAAAATCTTCATAGGTGTTGAATTTAAAAAACCTAGTTAACAGTCTAGTTAAAACAGAACAGCTTCATTTTATGCTCTATTTTGTACTATTAAATTGCATATAAACACCATAGGTTGAACAGGTATGGATCTGATTAGCATTCAAGTCTGAAAATGCATAAATCTGACCTAATTTGAATACAAGATTCCCCATTGCATTACATCAATAGAAACACTGTTCTAAGGGGAAAAGACTGGTCCGTGTGAATGGTACTCATACTATAGGACAATAAAATGACAGGTTTTCTGGAAAGGAAGAATAGTTACATTTTTCATCACTTAAAAGGGGTTTTGTGGAATCAATTTTACAGTTATGCCTGTTAATTAATCTACCCATTGCCAGATTTGCATGAACTCTGGCACTCCACTCCAACACAGATTTGCATGAACAAAACTATAAAATTGACGTCAGCATTCTAAAATCTGGAATCTCTGATCACTGGAACATTTGCTTAGACATGGAGTGGATGTAGCATCTGCAAGTTCATACTTCGGCCCTGATTCATCAATATTCCCTCAGAGATGGTTTCATACAGGCACCAAGGTTCACACATTGCCTTGCAAATTATTCCTATGGTGTTTCAATTGCAAAATGATGCATACAAGTTATTAAAATTGATATTTCATTTAAAATCAATTCAGTTTGAAGATTTTTAAAGTTTAAGTTGCTGTAAATGTTAGCAAAAACGTAAACTAAAATATATTGAAAATTGACACTGGTGGGTGTGTCTGTGTGTGTAACCATGACAGACTGGCTTCCTGTCCAGGGCTGTCCTGCCTTAAAACCTGTTGCTTGCCAGGATAGGCTCCGGCATTACACATTAATAGATGATTGGGAGAAATATGTGGATTGCATGTTTTCTGACCTAGGAACTTTATATTTGATAGAAACAGCTTTGGCAGCAATTTCACCTGCAAGTCTTTTTGGTTAAATCTCTACCAACTTTGCCCCTGGCATGGTGCAATTTTTGCCCATTCTTCTTAGCACAGTTTCTCTCAAGCTGCTTTTGGATTACTTATCAACAGCAATTTTCAAGACTTCCCACTGATTCTCAATAGAGTTCAAGTCAGGACTTTGACTATGGAAGTCAAAGACTCACTTTCTAATTTTTAAGCTGCTCCAGTGTAGCTTTGGCCTTGTGGTTTGAATCATTGTCCTGCTGTACGGTAAAGTTTTGTCCCGGTTTCCACTCTGAAGCAGGCTTTCCTCTAAGATTTGCCAGTAGTCTGCTCAGTCTCCATCAATCTTCCCATTCCCTGCTGATGAGAAGCAGAACTATAACATAATGCTGCCACCACCATGCGGGACAGCAGGGATGGCGTTGACTGAGTGCTGCACTATGCTGGGTTTGCATCAGATGTAACAATGTGCATTTAGATCAAAAGTTGCAATTTTGTCTTGCTTAATCACAAAACGTTGGCTACATTGGCTGCACTATTCCTTTTCTTACAAACCACATGCAGAATTTGAGATTTATTTTCAGTTCTAAACAAGCCTCTTTTGTGGAGTGACTGGTATAGTGTTGACCCATTAACATTTTCTTCCATCTCAGTCACTAAACTCTGTAACTCTTTCAAAGTCACCATTGGCCTCAGGGTGGTATTTCTACTTACTTTCAGTCTTTCACAGCTTCTCAGTTTGGAGGAACAGAGTGCTTGAGACAGTGTCTGGATGCCTTCTGCTTCTGGATGCTCAAACAGATATTAAGACAATATGAATTGTTTTTATACCTTTTTCCCAATCTGTGCCTTCTTACACATTTATCTCTGAGCTTCTTTGGTCTTTATGGTTGAATCCTTGGTTTGAACCTTACAGATACAGTATAGGTGTACTTATTCTGAAATTACGTGAAATATTATTATTGCACACAGATAGAGGCTACTCAACTAACTGTGTGATTTCTTAAGGTAATTTTGATTGCCATTGCAAAGGATTTGAAAATGTATGCAATCAAACTTTTCCATTGTTCTTTAATATTAATTATCTATTTAATGTAATTCTTTTAGTTTTCTCTTTGAATATATGCATAATATATCAATGTATATACAGTATAAAGGCAATCAATTGCTACTATGCTTTAAAGCAAAAAAAACTGTACAATGGTCTGAACACTTTTGCAAGGCACTGAATTTTGGTCAGCAGCTCTAAAAAGCCAATCATCTGAGTTTATCTACTCTGTAAAAGAGAAAAGAGAAGGGATATCAAGAAATAATGCAAGGTGTTCTCATGCCTTTCCACCATAAAACAATTCAATGCTGAGAATCCAACACCCATCTCTGCATGTAACAGTGAAAGGTTGGTAGACAAACCTTGTTTTTATTAATACACCCTGACAAAGTGAACATAGAGTAATTTAACAGTACAGTAACTCTAATGCAGGTAGTTAATAATACAAAATAAAGAATTTGGGTAACATCTTACACTGTATAAATTATTCTTGAGATGTCAAATACAATTACATCAAATTATTTTTCTCATTCAAATGGATTAAATGGATTCCCAATAAAGAGGAAATAAACTCTTGAAATTGAAGTGCACTTGAAATGTTACATCTCAGCTATGGAGCATTTCATATTTTAAAATGTAAAACATCAGGAAAAAGGCTATTCATCTAGAAAAAAACGAGAATCATATTAAAAACATGGAAGAATGTTACATTGTGTAAACTGAATTTTAACATGTATCCTGAAAATATCAGCCTTAGTCACTGAAGATCTGTAAGGTTCATAACAGTGTACTATGTAAAGAAATGGCTGTTTCTTTTTACCTCCTAAAACTGCACACTTACATCCCTTGGGGGTTCAGCTGTTGCCTTATGACAAATAATAACAAACATGTTCCTGCTTTCGTTACTCATTTCAAATGTTCAAAGACGTGCGCTTCAAACCATGGCTGTTGAGGTGTTTTATTTGAAATTATTAATTGCAAA